TAAAGAACAAGTTTTTATAACTTATTATCAAATACAATATTATACAAAAAATTTATTAAATACTAGAATTATAATGCGATTTTTAATTTTCGTGGGAAATTTTCCAATTCAAGAATTTTCTTTGTCGTTGGAATTAAATCTCTGTGAATATTTGACAGAGCTAACCCATTTAGTCGAGATTCTGAAGTAGTATTTTGTAAATAAGTTTTCAACCTTCTCAATTTGAAAAAGGTCCTTTCATTCGTATATGTTGTAATAGGCAAAAATGCAAGAATATTAAATACCTTCAAAATATTTGGAAATTAAGCCAAGGTTTCCTTATGTCGATTGAGCGCATCAATAGCATGCTCAGGTAAAATAATAAAGGTAGTAAATATTTATACCACAATTCAAATTCACTGATTAAATTGATTTCAGTATCAATATCATAGGAATAAAATTTTGCTAAATATTTAATTTTACCAAAAATGGCATCAGAAAACGAAGAGGGTCTTTAGGTAATAAAATTTAAAGATTACCAAAGACTTGTTTTTTATCTAAAAACCGTACTTTAATTTGCTATAAAAAAGTATCTAAGAATGGGATGAAATTGGATATTTTATAATATTCTATAAGATTTAGTTTGATTCAACGTCTATATAAATATTATGAAATATTCATCAACATTCATTCTTCCTGTCCACATTTTCCTCCAAACCAATAACTTGAACCAAATCGAATTTTTTAAAATTTCTACATAGTAGTGAGCTATAAGAAAATAATTTATTAATGCAACTAGCAGTAAGGATAAACTCTGCTTGATATTAAAAATTTTTGACGGGGCAGGGGGGGGGGTGGGGTAATATTTTTATTAGTTAAAAGGATATTTAGAAAAACAGGCAAATTTGCGATGGGGGGTGAAATTTCCCCCTTTCCCCCATTGGTTACGCGCCTGAATTAAACTAATTGAAATAAGACTCCGTAGTATACCATGAATGATCCTTTTCTTAATAATTTAATCATTTTATCAATGGAATAACATTTATTTAAACAGTTAAATATTGATGAAATTATAAATTACTCTGCTTTCTCTTTCCCTAATTTCTCTAAATTATTATTTGAAAATTTTTTTTTTTTTAAAGTATATATTTTTTTTAACATTTATATTATAATGTAATAAAGAAGGGTGCAATAACGATTATTTTTGAAAATTGACCAGAAGGAACAGCTTAAAAACTCGAAATACACAGAAATTACAAATGACCATGTTTCATTCCAATCATTTAACCACACTTGACACCTTCGGGCAAACTTGCTATAGCTTTTTTCAAAAATTTAGGATCTCAAATCAGCAAACACTCAGAAGAACCTCGAGAGGGGTTTTTTCTTCGGACTGGCCATAGCAATCCTTAAAACCAAATTACATCAGCTTCAACGGTAGTTTAATAACCAAAGAGCTATCCTAGACCCTTTATACTTCCTAATTTTTATTTCGCTTTATACCATCCCCAGTTTTCATTGTTATTTTTAAAATTTTTCGCACATATTCCTTTTGTCCCATTTTAATATAGACATATATTCATTATCTGTTATTAAAAAAAATAAAAAGTAATTATTTTTTATATTAAATTTATATCTTTTATTGTAAATTGTAATCTTTTAAATCATTGAGGTTTGGAATAAAAACAAAAGAACTGCTTTTTCGGGGGGAAGGGGTTATCTCTCAGAAAGTGTAGGGGCCACTGTGTATTGTTCCCCTGAAAAAATATTACATATGTTTTAACTTGATGATGCTTCCAACCTTTATAACCACTAGTACAATTAGTATTTTTTAATAGCTGAATATATTCCAAAGGGGATTCAATAATAGTCTTTAAGACATTTTTTAATTAAAGGTTCAATCGATTCTGTCAAGATTATGGGTAAAGAAGAGGCTTCTGGTGAAGACAAAATTTCCAAGAAGTCAAGGTTAAATTTAAAAGATTATCTTTGGGAGTAATAAAGGCAGACATCACTGCGTTATAAGCTTATTGTATATAAATCGAAATCTCTCATTTTTTCGAAGATTGCAAGAAATCCCAAATAAAATCTTCTACTTAATATTAAAAATATTATCTAATATATTTCTAAAAACTTCATAAAATTCAAAAAAAAAGAAGAGAATTTTGGAAAAATTAAATAATGACGTTGGTGTGAAAATATTTTGTAAAATATCTTCCAATTTTGATAACCCTTTAGGAAAAAAGGTGTTCTGTGGACACAACATATTCGGGGAGAATGCTTAAAAAGTAAACTAATAAAATTTATTCCTTCTAATTCACTAAACAAGGGTCTATTAAGATACATATGATTTTCAAAAATTTTGATGATAACTATTTCCCACCATCCAATGGATCAATTTTTTAAAATATACGTAATCATTTTAATTGATGTTTAGTAACAAAGTTATTATTTTAATTTTTTTTAAAAAAATAATTCTATATGTTTGTCATAATATTTTTATCGAAATTCTATTGATGACTATTCTAATTCAGAAATTTTTTTTAGAATTTGATATAAAGGTGGATTATTTTAGTTGGAAACCAGAATCTTTCCCCTTTAATTATAATCTTGCCTACAGCTATGAAAGCCGTCATTTCGTGACATGATTTTAGCTTAATTTTATCTGAAAAATTGGCTCTACCTTGGTTAAATTATAAAAATTGCATGACTTTGGAGCTAACCAGTGCAAGGCAACGTATTATACTAAAAGAACACTTGAAAAATTAGTTCCCTGTAATTGTCAAATTTGCGGTTTTGGGACAAATTTAAAATGACAATTTAACGTCACCTACACCAACCCTGTAACAATTTGTTTTGTCATTTATAGTATTATAAGCAGATTTTAATAATTTTTTTTAATATTTTGCTATTTTATACAATTATCTATCATATGATTATCAAATAAAAACTCGAAATCTAATTATTCTCTCGAAAATTAATAAATGAAATATGCCCATGTTAAGTAATAACGTTATTAAAACATAAGATTATATAATTAGGGTTAAACCCGAAAACTCGAAAGGAATATGAATTTAAGAAGCATATTTGAGATTTAGATTTATTGAGAGTATAAGGCCTATTTTAAGAGAATTCAGCTCCATATATTCAATTGCTGCTAAAATATTTTTAGATCATGAATCTTTATAATTTTTTTATATATACCCGGACCGGGCTTAAAAATTTCTTTAAAAAAATATACCTGGGCCGGGCCGTATATTTTTACACCTAATATTTTTAATCGCCATTTTGCTATAAAAATTAAGAATGACCGAAAATTAATTTTTAAAATACGAGCCGGGTCTTGCTAATGGTACCTCTACAGGTCTCTGAACATTCATTCCCCAAAAGTTTATCATTTATATTTTGTGTGTGATGGTGATAATTTAAATATGAATGTTATGTGAAGCAAACTGGAATTTAAAAATAATAAGATTAAAAAAGAATATTTATGAATGAGCCATTATAATATAAATATTCTTATGTAACAAAATTAAATCGAAATCACAGTTCGCGTTCCTTTTCTGTTCCTCCTGAATATGTCTGGAACTTTCCATTCCCTGTCCCGAAAACAATAATAATTTAGATTTTAAATAATATTGGACAATTTATAATAAATATTTATTTTATAAATTCTAAGACAACAAAAAGAGAAAATACTTTATTGACAAAGAGATTTAAAGTTTTAATCAATAACTTTTCTTTATAAAATTAAATTATCAAAAAAGTAAAAAAAATGTTTAAAAAAATTTATATTGAATTCTTGACTTATCATAAAAGTAAAAATGTTAATAAAAAAAAAATTATTTTAAATTTTTGACAAAATTTTTTTTTAAACTATCTTTGGAGAGAACATTTTAGTGTTTAAAAACAAAACAAATTTTTAAAAAAAATAAATCATGAATCCATTGAGGTCTATAGGTCCATCCACTCAATATTTAAATCGATATTTAATCATTAATAACACTTCAAAATTAAAACAATAAAAATAAAAGTTAGATCTAATTGTTATTAATATTGATTCAAAATGAATTGTTTATGTTTTATTGATTAGTCCCAAACTTATATTAAATTCAATAATTTATTTTACATTTTATATTCGACGTAAATTTTTCCTACTTTATTTCCAGACTCGCCAATATTTTTTTTTCCGCTTACTTTCTATTGGAAAGTCAGAAATTTTTTTATTTGGGCCATGGCAAGAAGAATAATTAACTTAATATTTTAGCCAAAGATATTACATAGGTCTGGAGATTTTGCTCTTAGGGAAAAGGTTTGGGCATTTATTAACGAAATCTCGAGGCTGTGTAAAAAATTTGGCTAAAAAAAATTAACCGGTTTAACAATACGGTCTTTAATGATTAAATTATGACCAATTACTATGATCATTCATTCATAACTAGGATTTTATTTTCCTTGTCCTACATTTTATGTTCATTTGCTTTAATTGGAAAATCATGAAACCCTAAATCCTTATAATATTGGATATTTTTTTCATAAGTTTCTGGATTTTAAAAACGCGGGCTGAGCTGGGACAACTTTAGTAAGAAAAATGGAACCGGGTCGAGCCTAAAAATCTAGTCATTTGCAGACCTCTACTTTCTACTTTCCAATCTTCGCGATATTTTAACGATTCCATTCTATATATTTTTAAATATTTTGAATCTATTGTTTCCCTTCTTTTTTTGCCTCCCATATATTCCACATCTCTTCAGGTAGGGGTAGTGTTCAAGGTTTTCTAAAGTTATAACCCATTTTATCAAGTTATGACTAAAAGCCCGAACCATTTTTTAGGCTTCAACTTCAAGCAAAAAGTTTAAAATATTTTAATAGGCTTAACATTTGGTCCTCGCTTATAAATATTATTTTGGAATAATTAAATTTTGGTTATACTTATATATCTGACAATCGAGTCGAGATCAAATTATTTTTGCAAAAAATAAAAATAATTAATATTTGAGTATTAATACATTATATGATACTTTTAAATTGTATGATCGAACTATAATTAGCTAACACCAGCTTCGGGAGAACAAAATTTCCATTTCCACCGTAGGAGGTTTCAGAATTTCCACCGTAGGAAGATTGAGAATAATTACTTCTAGATAACATTTCATCCAATGCCAAATCTTCCACGATCCCGTAATTTATCCAATCGGACCCGGTAGAATTCTCACCGTTATAGCTTTCCATCCAATTTTTATTGGAAGATGATAATGTATGAGTCAGGATCCAAGATATTTTCCACGCATTTAGACAAAGTATGATTGTCCATGAAATCGTAAAAATCATTCATTCATATTATCATAAAAAAATTTTTCTTATGTAGGAAACAAATATAGACAACGAAATATATAGCCATTTAATTTAAATTTTTTTAAAAAAATAAAAAATTTTGCCTATTAATAATTATAATTATATTCATATTATTTTTTTTAATTAACAATTTTTTGAAAGAAAGATAATTCTTTAATTTAAAAAATTTTTAAATATTCGAGGAAAGATAATAAAACAAAAAAATATATATAAATGAATTATGTATTTTTTATATTAAAATTTATTGTCGGAGTTAATTGTCCCCAATTTTCCATTCCTTCTCTCATTTCCTTTTTTATTTTCGAAAATAAAATATGATTATACAAATTATGAAAGATAATCTTCATTTAATATACAAATGTTTGTGTCAATTGGAGGAATAAAATTTTATAATATTTAAAAGGCGATATATTATATTATTTATTTATTTTTTGAAAAAAAAGGAATTTATATAAAAAATCTTCTTCAAAGATTATGTCAAAAAAAAAAAATTCGTAATATTAGTTATTATTACAAATAATATACAAGTTTCTGTTATATCTATAATTATAATGAGTTTTCTCCGTGCTAGAGTTTAGTCTGATTTCGTTAGGATTCATTCAACTCACAATTTAATTTTTTTTTCTTTTTTTTTAAAAATAAAAAATACAAATTCTATTTTTAAGACATAACATAATTGTTAGAAATCTGCAAAAGTAAGTCCCTTCCCCGGTTCGAACCCGCCCCGAGCACCAATATAGTTTTATTTGTTTGTAAGAAATTTAAAATGCTTAGTGTGGTAAATAATGGAAAACTATATTGAAAAATAATTAATACCTTTATTTAAATAAATTCAGACCAGGCCGACCAATAATTTCTATATAGGGTCGGGTTTTTCGGGATAAATAAAGAAAAATTTATTCGGGCCGGACCGGATAGGCCCGATGCAGATCATTAATTACGATAAATATTTTATTGTTTGTCAAAAAAAATGCGATTTATCTTCTTATCTTATTAATTCCCGACACCGTAAAAAATTATGTTTAAAATTGATTCATAATTCGGCAATACAAAAAATATTTTTGACAAAAAAACAGAGGAACAATTTTTTTTTTATTCATAAAATAAGTCCACTGGGAATGAGAGAAAAATGTTTACTCAGTTATTATAATCCATCCTATTTAAATCTATGGATTAAAATTCTCCCCAAAACATTGTGGTATATATTTTTTTGTATATCAGTTCTCTTAGCATCCATAATCATAATCTTGTTAAAATATCTTTTTCTTTTCTCCTTTTTTGTTAAAAAATAATAATATTTATTTCCAAAAAACCAACATAATTATCGGAAAAATTTATGACAAATTACATATAACACAATTCAAAAAAAAAATATATTTTATATATAAAATACAAATAACCAGTTTTACTTTATTTATTTTTTTAAAAAAATTTTTTTCTTTTTATACTTTTTTTTGTTTTCATTTTTTAAAAACCTTCCAATCTTTAAAATATTTACTATAAACTTGATCCGTTACTCTGTAAAGAAAAAAAAATTAATTTCATACTTATTCGTTATTAATATTTATTACAGGTGGATATGTTGACTGAATACCAGGGATCCAAACCGAAACGAATATCGGTTCGGTTCAGGTTCGGATAAAAATAACGGTTCAAGGTTCAGGTTCGGTTCGAAAAAAATAAAAATATCGGTTCGTTTCGAACCTCTAAAAACCGGTTTGAACACTATTCAAACCTACTTTAGGATTATGTATAAGGAATTTTTTTTTATTTCATAATTAAAATAAAAACCTTCATTTTTATTAATTGCACATTATAAAATAATATTTAATTTATAAATATAACAAATAAATATATCAATGAATAATTTTAATATGAACAATTACTTAAAAAATTTTTATTAAGCCGCACAATTAATATATTTTCAAAATTCGTCTCACTCAAATTACATCTATAAGGAGAAAATATAAATTTAATTGTTGATAAACATCTTTCCACACTAACTTGGGTAGCTGGCATTGTCAGTATGACATTTGATGTGTCATTTATAATACTATTTTTAAATAACTTATACATTAGATTTAATTTTTTTCTAGGCATTATAATTTATAAGCTTAAAATATTTAAAAAATGTTGTAAAATGGCAATATACTAAAGTTTATAAAAATTATGACTGACATTTATCAATAACATTTGATTGATAATAATTTTTAAAACAATTTGAATATAATTAAAATTTTTGCAATATACTACTAGTATAATAACTTACAATTATTTTATAAGCATAAAATTATAAGACTCGAACCGGTTCAGAAACATTTAGCATTTAGCGGTTCGGTTCAGGTTCGGCTAGAAATATTTTAGAGGTTTAGGTTCAGTTTAACGGTTGGGTTCAGGTTCGGTTTGGATCCCTGCTGAATACTGGATAGGGATCTTTAATTTTCAATTGACCGCTTACTTAATTATTTCAAAATAAGCCACAATATCGTTCTCTATTTTAACTGTTAACCATCCCTAACCAAAATCTATATTATGAGGATTTGAGAAAAATCTGTCTTCAGATAGAATGGGCCATTTCTTATCTGAGAGGTGAGACATATAGAATCTTCTGGTTTGAAATTTTTTCAATCACCTTAATAAAAACAATTCTAGTTATTCTCAAATCCTGCTTAGATTTAGAAATTTTCAAAGTTCTTTTAACTGATTGCTATGATACCATAATATTGCCAAATTTAGAAACTACTTTGTCAATTATTTGGAGAGGTTTCGCTATAGTATCTGCAGTTCCCTTCTTTACATATCATAGATTTTAATGACTTTTTGATTTTAACAAAATGAAGGGTATCAGTGTTGTATTACACAAAAAATTTGGTAGGGGTGATAAATTTTTTAATATTATCTAAAATATGATATATAAAATATCTATTTTTTGAGTATGTGAATAATTGTACAATTTATATAATATTTAAAAAATATAATATATAAAATATCTAATTTTTTTTATGCATAAAAATAATTTTATTATTTATGTAAATATTTTTAAAATAAAGTTACAAATTTGGTACTAACAATATTTATACAAATTTGGTACTAACGATATTTATACAAATTTAAATATATTTTAATATGAATTATAAAATTTTCCATAAATCTTTCATTTAGTTTTCTTGGGCTGTATTTTTTTTTGAAAAGATTTCATTCCCATAGTCACAATTCAATTTCCATATTTTGATATATGCATTTGGGAATCCGCTCCGATATCCAAAAGTTTATTAATTTTTATGAACATTAAATTTGACAAATAATTTATTCTTAAATTCTCTCTATTATCTATCATGATTAAATTCATAACATGAAATCCCCTTACACACACGGCAATAATATGTGAATATCAATATATATGATATTTGGTGATTGATATGTTGTACATATTTAAAAATTACGAGTTTCATATCACAATGTAAAAGATATCAGGTTGGACTAGACCTGTCTATCGTCCCGCTTTAGGCTGCGTATTCCCGCTAAGTGAATTTCTGCCCAGCAAAAAATTACACGACCAAATGTCCTGCTAAATTAAAAGGTAAAATAATCTCGCTTAATATTCCTCTACATAGTCATGAAGTACATTGCCAAAAGGACCCCGAAGAACTTGATAAAAAAAACATCCCAATTTATTATATAATCCAATCAACTAACAATCCAATTTGAAAATTTCAAATTTCTATGGATTATTTCTTATCCATAGGGTTCTTAAATCGGCTCTTAATACTATCAGTCGGAGTTAATTTATTTTTAAGATTGATGTAAGTTCTTTAAACTTCTTCAGTTGAAAATAAAATGATAATTTTTCGCAAAAATTAGTTTAGCATTTTTAGAGTCGTTCAAAACATGCTAAAAGTGGAGTCATTTATCACTAATACTTTCTGGTGATGAACTTCCCTGTATACGGTAAATAAAGTAGAGGGATTTCTTTGGCGGGTTGTAAATTTTTTAAAGAAAATTTGATGTTTAATAATATCGATTTTATAGAGTATTTCACGCGATCGAGAACCCCACTGTCCCCTTGGAGTCGGCGTCACTGAAATAAATAAAAGATTTAAAAAACCTTGTATCACTGTCTATTTTTATACCATTTTCTTACCTAACCAGTACCTTTTGTATAAGCTTTTATTTTTAGTTTAATATTTTCAAAAAAATACTATTTTTTATATTTAATTATATTAATATTCATAAATATTGTTTAAATGAGAGATATTTTTTTAAATATATTTTAGTTGATTATAAAATATAAAAAGAAATTAAAAATTTTAATTAATAATATTGAAAAATAATACTTGCTTCCCAAAAATATGAAAAGTGAAAAAAAAAATCATTTTTAATTTTATAAATTTTTTTAAATTTTATAACAGTAATCAAGAGAAAGGGGAACCAAATTTAACACTTTTGAAAAAAATATTAAAATTTTTTAGCGGGGTAGCTGAACTCCTGTTTAAAATTTGTAAAAGTGGTTAAAAATAGAAAAATAGTTTTGGAGGGCTTAGCCCTTATATTCCTCCTCGTAATAAACCCCTAATGGGTGTGTTTGTGATTAAAAATGGGCTTAAATTCTAATATTGGCCACAAGATTTTGTATTTAAATTTAATGTATTTCAAGAATCTCCATCTATATTTTCCGTAAAATTTTTTGAATATTTAAAATTAAGTCTTAAAAATAATTAAATGGACAATTTTCGGGGGCCTACTTTTTTTGAGGGTCAATTTCCTTGGGGTCAAATTCTGTAAAATATTTAATGTTCTATGTTAATGATATCATCTATAAAATTAGTTATTTAATATAAACGGTTGACCACTAAATAGCATTGCTCAAAATAGTAAATTGAGTATGTTTCGCTAGAAAAAATTAAAAATTTAAGTTAAATATAAATTGCAAATTATATTTT